TAACACAAAGTTCTCCCGAGATTAAGGTCACGAGCAGTAAAGTTCTCAGGGAAGTAGCCGACGTGTTACCAAAACAGAACACATCCGACCTTCCTGTCATTGTATCTTCGAAGTTTATGTGAGTTTCCCCCTTCAGGCGGTAGTCGACATCCGTTTTCTCTCATGCCCGCTCAGAGGAAGGAGACATCCTCGGCTCCTCAAGATGCACTCGGGAAAATTGCCAACCCATTGTTTACTCCGGGAAGTCACGATCAAAGGGGTCAGAGTCATCACGTTAAATTGAGTTATTTCAGGAAAGGGATCATAAATTACGATTTTTTATTGTCTTTTCTTTGAAGCTATATCTACTAATTCTGCCACCTACGTCATTAGTGAATCATTACTTTGATGAGTTTAATTATAATGATTACTATCATTATCATTACCATTAACTTCTCGTATTATCAGCATTATTAGCATCACTATAAACATCATCGCTTTAGCATCATGATAATAGTACCTTTAAGATATTAAAATTACTGTTATCACCATTCTGATGATATTGATTATATACGATCAACAGCATCACAGGAGTCATTATATTGCCGATTTTGTTATCTATAGGAAAATGTAAATGCTCTGTTACTACCACTAATATTGCGGGTATAGTAATTAAAATCATATCATCACAATGTATCGCAATTTGGAATCTGTCATTAAAGTTCGTATTTACCACCGAATCTAACAAAAAGAAAAAAATCTCATATAACGAAGATTCACTTATGTCAAAGTCTTATTAATTGAACACAATATCTTAGGTCACTAGGCAGCTGGAAGTCACTCGATCCTTCTCATAACTTCATAGCAAGATCATCCCATCGTATGACATTGTTTACCATCAAGGCAGACATATGTCAAGCAGGAAAGCGACATTCATACGGAACAGGGTCGTCAGCCACGCCAAAGAACTTCCCGTCTTCTTTGTCTCCGTGATTACCCCGTTTTCTTTGTTCCCTTGATTACTCCGTTTTCTCCAACTTTCTCTCAAATTCGAGTACGTTTGCCTATTTGCATATGTAATTTCACAAGCGGAAAGCTATTTGTATCATTGTAAAGAAACGGATCTATTTTCAACCCTATCTAGTAATAAAAACTTTATAATGGCCCGATAAAAGGCCAAAACCGTCACGGTTTGTTTTAGAACACATATACTAATTCAAGATTTTCCCACACGCAGATGCATGCAAGAACCATACTGTTCTATCATCATAAAGCTTCACAAGCTTTATGGCAATGGAGTGAAACCGTCTATTTTTCATTTTTAAGCACTTGTTATATAATGATGAACAATCAAATTTCTCTTGTATGTATTGTTTTAGGTCTGTGTTAATTTAGGTGATCATTTGCTATTCTGTATTTTTTAAGTAATGGTGGAGGCGAGAAATATGATAAAGGAGTAAAGAATGATAAGAAACGTGATGATGGAAGAAATAATGAAAACTGAAAAGGCGTAGGATCTTCTTACGGAAAAAAAGAAGAGAAATAACTCATTTATTAAAACATTATTGCCATTAGAAAAAGAAAGAATATACATGTAAAATAAGTAGTGTGTACAAACATGAAGGCAAAGTCGCAAATTTGTATGAATGCAAGAAAGCGGACCAACAAGAGATTAATAATCCAGGGAACGAGGAGAGAATGCTTGATAATCAAAAATAGGAAAAGATATTGTTTATGAGCCACAACGTGTGCTTCCGATTTTCTTTTGTTTTCGCTCCATTATTTGGAGGATATAACATGACGCGGACTTCCTGCTGTTTGTATCTGCACACTCTGCATTCGATTCTCATGTTCCCTCGATGTTTTTCTCTTTTATTCATTTATTTTTACGCCTCTTTCAAGTGATATTGTACATGTTCGTTTTGTTTTGGTATAAATTCCGAGACATGCTTCTCACTTCATACCTAAATGCCAGACTACCATTTAGATATTTTTTATATCATAGAATATGTGAGATCTAACGTGGCAAGGGAAATATAAATATAGAAAGCAGCTATCAAAAACTTTCTTAAGCAATTAAATTCATACCCAAGCAATCAAATTCTTACTTAAGCAATCAAATTCTTACTTTAACAATCAAATATCTCCTTGAACGATCAAATTCTTACTTGAACAATACCCTCTCTTTCTCCCCCCGAACAGCAACGTGTAACCAGCCGGACTGTCTTCGATGCGACCTCGAGACGGCCGAGTGTGTCAAGTGTCTGTACGTGATCATGGCTGACACGCGCGAGTGCCGGTCTGCTTGCCCGCCGGGTCACGCCACGACATGGGCCACTCACCACGCGCTGATGGGTCGCGTCTGTACAGGTGAGTCGTGTGTTAGGTGTGGCTGAGGAGAGGAAGGGAGGCTAAGGGATAGGTGAGGATGGGTTGGGTTGGGTGTCTGGGTAAAAGGAAGGGGGAAGGGCGGGAAAGGGAGAGAATAATGGTAGGAAAAGGGAGAGTAATGGTAGTAAAA